ACTTGCTGTCCATGAATAAAGTTAGTCGAGATATTATCAAGAATGTTCCCTGGTGGAATTGTCCAAAAAGTTTGGATTGTGATACTGACCCTGAAGAGATTACAATACTCCCAGTCAAAATTGCTTTAATGGCCAGGTGCGCATGTCAAGGACTAAAAATCGGAGGAAAAACGGTTAAAGTCCCAGATAATTATATAGGCTGTAAATATTCAACAGTGCATAGTATGGAACATTTTGTCTGGGCAGCTAGTGATGGAACTTGGACTACCTACTTATCCATGGAAGGTCCAGTTAAAGAAATTACTCTGGGATTACCCACTCCCTGTCCAATTTGGAAGAAATCACCATTTAAAGGTAAATTGGAAACCTTGCAAATTTGAACAAAAAGAGATATAGACATAAACGACGAAGATACTTGGCAGGAACCTTCAACAGGAACTAAAATAGGATGGGCTATGGAATCTTTATTTGCTCAGGTAGCATCATATCGAAATAGAGAAATGATTTATAATCTGATTGGTCAAACAGAGAGACTAGCCAGAATAACAAAGGGTTTAGAGATTTAAATTTACAATTACAAGCAACAACCAAAATGACCTTGCAGAACAGAATAGCATTAGACATGTTGTTACTTAAAGAGCACGGTGTCTGTGGATATTTGAAAGACAGAGTGGACCATTGCTGCGTTCGCATTCCCAATGTGACTGCAGACATAGAACACGATATTTCTCAGTTAACCAAAGTTGGAACAGGAAACAGAAAAAGAAAAAGAATATATTGAACAAAATTGGATCGGGGAGCTTTTTGATGATTTGGGCCTTCACCTCATGGGATGGGTCCGTTCCCTTGTGCAGACTGTAATCATGATACTGATTGTGTTTCTGATTATCTATGTAATGTATCTTTGCATCCGAAAGGAAATAGCCCAAAATGGTGCATGGACTCATCGAATTATAGGGGCAGTGACCAGAGACCACTCAAAATATCTGACACCTTCTCCTACTTATCAGGAAACTGCTACCTAAGAGAGTGAAAATACTTAAATTAAGTGAAGTATTTTCAAAGGGGGGAAATGTTGGAAAAGGGCGAAGTTTTTATGATAAAACAATTGTATAAAATAGAAGAAATGATTATGTTTGAGAAATTTATAAATCAATAGTGGGATTTTGTATATTAGAAAATTTTGTAACTTTGCAGTTTTGTATCACGGCTGCTCTGTAACCAGTGTTGCAATGGTAGTCTTAATAGCATAACCATATATGGTGGAAGGTGTACGGGTGGATTTATGGGTGGATTTAGAAAAGTATGTACTGGAGACTATACCCAAGCAGATCTTAGAACGATTAGGTTGTCCCCCCAAGTTCCTGAAAATGATTATTCTGTTACATGAGGATCAGCAAGGCCAAGTCAGGTATGGTGATGCACTCTCTGAGCCTTTCCCAATAACCAATGGTGTGAAACAAGGTTGCGTTCTCGCACCGACCTTATTCACAATCTTCTTCAGCATGATGCTCCAAAGGGCTACAGCAGACCTCTACGAACAAGACGGCATTTATATTCGATACCGTACCGATGGTAGCCTATTCAATCTAAGGCGACTGAAGGCCCACACTAAGACCCTAAACCATCTTGTCCGTGAACTGCTCTTTGCTGATGATGCTGCCCTTGTTGCCCACACAGAAGCAGCTCTGCAGCGTTTAACATCTTGCTTTGCGGAGGCGGCTGAGGTTTTTGGGCTGGAAGTCAGCTTGAAGAAGACAGTAGTCCTCTACCAACCTGCACCGCAAGAAGATTATCGCCATCCCCATATTACCATCGGCGAGTCAGAGCTTAAGACAGTTCAGCAGTTCAGCTATCTGGGAAGCATCATTTCCTCGGATGCCACGATCGACAAAGAGATAGACAACAGAATAGCAAAGGCATATGGAGCCTTTGGAAAACTCCATAAAAGAGTCTGGTGTAATAAACACCTGAAGAAAAGTACAAAGATCAGTGTCTACAGAGCCATTGTATTGTCTACTCTTTTATATGGGTCTGAATCATGGGTCATCTACCGTCATCACCTGCGACTCCTGGAACGCTTTCATCAGCGCTGCCTCCGTACAATTATAAACATCCATTGGACTGACTATGTGTCTAATGTCACTGTCCTCGAACAGACAGGGGTCACCAGCATCAAGGCCACATTGCTGAAATTGCAGCTGCGCTGGGCAGGGTACGTCTCTAGAATGAAGGATCACCTCCTCCCCAAGATCGTATTTTACGGTGAACTTGCCACCGGTAGCCGCAAGAGAGGTGCCCCAAAGAAGAGATATAAGGACTCCCTGAAACAATACCTTAGCCTTGGCCATATTGACTACCATCAGTGATCCACCTTGGCCTCCAATCGGGAGACTTGGAGGCACACCATACATAATGCCGCTGACTCCTTTGAGAGTTCACGAAGAACTAGTCTCGAGGAGAAAAGACAACACAGGAAGAATCACGCCCCACCTGTTTCACCCAAGGAGACCATCTGCTGTGCTTTTTGTAGCCGGATTTGCCTATCCCACATTGGCCTTCTTAGTCATCAGCGCGCTTGTAGTAAGCATGGGTAAATGCCCTTCCCAAATCTTCGTTCGCGAAGTCAAGCCATGATGATGACCCAAGCAGAACCTATGCATGAGGTAGCCAGAAGAGCATACCAGAAGCTGAGGAGAAAATGCTAGCATCCACACAAGGGTTGGGATATGTCCCAGTAAGGGAAAGGTGAAGAGGACAACCCGAGGAAGACTTCTTACTTCATCTGAGGAAGACTCCTTACTTCATCGGAACGATCACCAGACGACCACCAGAGGGGCTGCGCAAGCGTAGAAGAGGCTGATGATGTAACATTTCTGATGTGGCAATCCTTAATGCATATGCATTAGCTAATGTTGTAACTCGTGCTAAATGTGCATAAATTGCGAACACGATGTGACGAGGTTGGAACCAGATTTGGGTGCGTACCCCTGGTTTCCCAGCGCTGCAATAAAGCACCTCATATAACCATTCCGGTGGTTATGTGTTTGTTCCTACGCTAACAATGCCACAGAGAGACTACCAAGCTTCATACAGCCCACTGACTATTACCCACTGCTGCTGTTTCACATAGGCACCGCAGATAGAACCAGGAGTAGTGTGAGGACTATCAAAGATTACAGAGCACTGGGAGCGGTGGCAAGGGATGCTGGAGCACAGGTAGTTTGTTGTTTTGTTGTTGTTGGTTTTTTTTGCCATCAATCCCCCCAGTCAAAGGGAAGTGGCTCCAAAGGGCCAATCAAATCTGGCAATTGCCTGGGAAAAGGGTGTGAGGAGCTGAATGGTGTCTCCACCATCCATTGCCCCAGAGATGAGTGGGAAAGAACTGAGATAAGACTCATCTGTCCATTATCCCAAGGATTGGTGTGAGGAAGTGCTGCCCATTATCCCAAGAACTGCTGCAGACAGGTGCAGCTGAAGAGCTGGCTGCAAGACCAGCGAAACTGGTCCACCAGGAATGTGCAATATGTCACATTAAGAACAGAGGTGCTCCCCCCCCCCTCCCCAGCTCGTTATAAAGGGGGGAAAAGGTAATCACCAAAAGAAGAGATCGCCATGTGAGGACAACTCCAGAAGCACACCTTCAAAGAGACATCGCCATGTGGGCAACTCCATCAGGGCAGCTACATGAACGTACCTTTAAGGGGACAACTCCGGAAGGACACCTCCTCGAGGACACCCACCTCCAACGACTACTACAGACTCTTGGAGACGCTCTGCTGTGACACTGACTATGGACCCTGGAGGACTCCCACCACCTCAGATGACGACGGATCCCCAGGACACCGCTGGATCCATAGTGATGACTACCTCCCTCTCTCTCTGCAGCCCGGATCCTAGCTTCTTTTCTCTTTTTTCCCCCCAAGCTGTCCTATTGCTATCCCCTTTATTACAATAATTTCCCTTTTTTATAGTAATTGTCTTTTTGCAATAAATCAAATTACGGTACTTGACCTCATTTGCATCTTAATTTCACTCTTAGGATTATGAACAAAACAGGGTCCGACACTGGGGTTTTCTCCAGCGCTCAACATGGAACAGAACAGAAGCAAGGACATACCAGTTGCTAACTCAGTACTAGGACCTTCTGAGCATGCACAAGCACTGAGGTCATTCAGTAAACACAAGGAGGAAGACCATCAGCGACCACCAGAGACCCCCACTCAGCAAGAAAACACACGTGTAAATAGAATGCACATGTTATAATTAGTTCCTGGAAGTCTCATGAATATGTAAATAATTTCATAGAAAAGCTGTAAATATGCACAAGTACGATAAATATATAACTGCTGCTGGCGAGTAACGGGTGAACTCACCTTTGCAAAATGATTAATGTGTGCACCCAGCGCTACAATAAAGAATGCTGCTTTCTAAAACTCCCAATTGAGTCTTAGAGAGTTTCTCTGACTATCATCATCATCATGGCTTGACTTCGCAAACAAAGATTTGGGAAGGGCTTTACCCACGTTTACTACAAGCGTGCTGATGACTAAAAAGGCCAATGTGGTATAGGCAAATCTCTGACTAACTTTTATGGTAACAGCACAACACCCTTGTCTCTAAACTGGTGAGACAAATTTGATGGATAGACCACCACACACATAAAGAACTGGCTGGATGGCCACATGTAGAAAGTTGTGGTCAGCGGCTCAATGAACAAATGGAGACCAGTAACAATCAATGTCCCTCAGGGGTCAGCATTGGGACTGGTGCTGCTCAACATCTTTGTCAGCAACATGGACAGTGTGATTGAGTGCACCCTCAGCAAGTTTACTGATGACACCAAGCTGTGTGGTGAAGTCAACACACTGGAGGGATGCCATCCAGAGGGACCTTGACAGGCTGGAGAGGTGAGCCAGTGCAAACCTCATGAAGTTCAAGAAGGCCAAATGCAAGGTCCTGCACCTGGGTCGGGACAATCCCAAGCACAACTGCAGGCTGGGCAGAGACTGGATTGAGAGCAGCCATGAGGAGAAGGACTTGGGGGTGTTGACTGACAAGCAGCTCAACATGAGCCAGCAGTGTGCACTTGCAGCCCAGAAAGCCAACTGCATTCAGGGCTGCTTCAAAAGGAGCGTGGCCAGCAGGTCAAGGGAGGTGATTTTTCCCCTCTGCTCTCGTGAGACCCCAGCTCTGGGGCCCCCATAAGAGATATGTGGACCTGCTTCAGTGAGTACAGAGGAGGGCCATGAAGATGCTTTAAGGGCTGGAGCACCTTTCCTATGAAGACAGGCTGAGAGTTGGGCTTCCTCAGCCTGGAGAAGGCTGCATGGAGACCTTATAACATTCTTCCAATAGCTAAAGGGAGCCTATAAGAAACCTGGAGAGGGGCTTTTTACAAGGGCCTGTAGTGACAGGACAATGGGAAATGGCTTTTAACTGAAAGAGGGTGAATTTATACTAGACATTAGGAAGAAATTATTCCCTGTGAGGGTGGCGAGACACTGGCACATGTTTCCCAGAGAACCTGTGGCTGCCCCAACTCTGGCAGTGTTCAAGGCTGGGTTGGATGGGGCTTTGAGCAACCTGGTCTAGTGGAAGGTGCCCCTGCTCAGGACAGGAGGGTTGGATCTGGATGATCATTAAGGTCCCTTCCAACCCTAAGCATTCTAGGATTCTATAATAATGGCACAAGTTGCTAATTTTTCCTGGATGGCACAACCTTTGAGAGCAATGAAAAACAACATGCTATGGCAAAGCACTGAAGGTCTTTGTCACACAGGTCACATTTTGAACGTATTACAGTAGTGGCTTAAAAAGATATACTCTGTATAGCGGACTATACAGAGTATGTATCTTTTTTATATCTATTAACTATAGGTTAATTCAGTTAAAAGAAACATACCAAACTGTAATTTTCAAAGGGAAGCACACACTGAAGGGAAAACAAGATGTTATCAAATACCACAGACAGCTGGAGCTTTTGGGCTCTGCAGAATACCTTGCTCTCTCAATAGCTTCTGTTCTATGCACGTTGGAAAGCTGGCCCAGGCAAAAACGATCTCCTCCAGAAGGATCCACATATCCATCAACAGTAACAATTGGACAGCTTGAAGGGACCTTAAATGTTTCTCCAACTTGTACATCCATTTCAAAATATGCGATTGAACACCAATATTCTGGAGCTAAAGAATATATACTATTAATTCACTGAAAGGCAGAAAAAAACCCCTATAAACCCATTCCAGACAATCAATTAAGCCTTCTGCAACTGCATTTGTCATTCAGAGTAAGAGTGCACATTCATATAAGCAAGTTCCGATAGACAAAGACATGTCTGCTAGCACAGAAAACCACAACATTCTACAGTGAACACAGACTTGTTGCTTTTATTTGAGCACATACCAATAAAAGCGGGTTTTGTAGTTATGACCTCATAGGTCTTTGTACAGTTTATTATTCCGGTTACATTTTGCAAGTCATCTGCATTCCTACACCTTATGACTATTGCTTGATTTTGTCCTCCCTTAGCATAAGTAATACATATACAGGGAGCCCAAAGAAGCTGTGGCTTCCCCAGCCCTGGAAGCGTCCAAGGACGGGTTGGATTGGGCTTTGAGCAACCTGGTCTAGTAGAAGGCATCCCTGCATATAGCAGGGGGTTGGAACTAGATGAGCTTTAAGGTCACTTCCGACCCAAATCATTCAATGATTCTACATGTCTATTCATGGCTAGGCTGACAGAAACTAACTCTGAAACAGATGTGGTTTAAGATGTAAGAGAAACTACCTTCTAGGTGAAGTCAGTTTTCTCTGTCACAAAATGGTTCCTTCTCCTTCCTTTCTCCCCTTCTGAATATGTATCTCACAAATTTCAGAGTACTTGATACAAAATAAACACCAAACTAACAAAACCAAACCAACAAACAAAATTACACTCCCCCCCAAAAAAAAACAAACCCCAAAACAAAACCTACAGAAACAAAACAAAACAACAACAACTCCAAGCCAATAAAAGTACCCCAACCCAGACTTAAACCAGAAAGTTAGCAGCTTCCACAATATTAGCATTACATGTTAGATTCTGCTTACCAGGATGATTTGATATAGGAGGCTGGAATGCAAGTTCATTGTGAACTGGCCCTTTAAAAGAAAACATGCAATTTGCTTTACATGAGGAATAATAAGGGTTTCTTTCTTGTTTTCCTACAAAAAAAGACTTTTGAGGATACCACATGTTAAAAAACTCAATTTCTGAATCACTTGGCAAAATCTGACAGGGGAGAAAAACGCTCACAGAAAATTACACTCATAAAGGTTTCCTAAAAACTCAGGAGTCAAGTAGAGCAAAGAGCTCTATTAGTATCCCAGAAAGAAAGGCTGCATGCTGCTCAAGCCAGACCCAGCACCAGGAGAGAGCAGAAACCAGATTTAGCAGAGATGTAACAGAAATAGGACTTAAACTTCACATCTGCCCCCAAATTGGGCAAGGAAAGAATCATTCTTGTCCTGGGTTCAGCTGTAACAGCTATTTTTCTCCTTAGTTACTAGTGCAGTGCTGTGTTTTTGACTTTAGTCTGACAACAACACTGATAACACACCAATGTTCTTAGTTGTTGCTAAGTAACTCTTACTCCAATCAAGGACGTTTTCAGTCTCATGCTCTGAAAGTGAGGAGGGGCACAAGAATCTGGGAGGGAGCAGAGACAGAACACCTGACCCACACTAGCCAAAGGGGTATTCCATACCACAGCACGTAATGCCCAGTATATAAAGTGGGGGGAGTTACCTGGAAGGGACCAATTGCTGTTCGGGTCAGGCTGGGTATTGGTGGGTGTGTGGATTATGCATCACTTGTGTTTATTGGGTTTTTTTCCCCCCTTTTTTATATTCTCTCCTCCTGTTACTTCCCATATAATTATTATTAGTAGTACTTTTATATTATACTTTATTTATTGGACTGTTCTCATCTCAACCCATAGGGTTTGCCATCTTTCAGTTCTCCTCCCCATCCTGCCGAGGGACTTGGGGTGGTGGGGGGAAGTGAGCAAGCAGCTTTATGGTTCTTCCAAGTTACCGGCTGGGCTTAAAGCATGACAACTGTATGGAGGCATGTGATATACATCTGTCAGAAACCACACCTCATAATTTATCAATCACAGAATAAGTTGCCCTGCATGCTGTGGACTTGACCATGGGAAACACTCCCTGAAGACTGAAAAAAGCCCTAGAGAACTCATTTTCTTAACAAACAAACAAAAAAAACAAACAAGAAAACCACCAAAATCCCACAAAAAAACAAACCAACAAACAAAAACACCCACACACACCCCCATGCCCCCCAAAAAAACCAACTCACAAGCAAATAAAAAAAAAACAAAACAAACCAAAACCAGAAACCCAAAACTGAATACTGTCTTGGTATCAGTCAGCTTATCCTCTCCACTTTTATAAACTAACTAGGTCCTTTACAGACAGCAGAGAACAAAAAACGTAAGACTTAAACATAGTATTATAACAGCGGCTTTTGCGATAAGATGTCCAAACAGGCACAACATTGGTAGGTGTCAAAACATGCCACTATCTGAAGGGAAAATGGCAGCAGCCAAGATAAGCTCTTTGTGGTATCACCAGCCAGTTACAAATATTAATTATGCAGACACATGCACTCAGAAGCATTTATAGAATATCTACAACACCACTAAAGTTTTATATCCTGGTACTTCCAAAATGTAAGATAAATTAAGCGGGATCATGACAGAACAAAATAATGTAACTTAATAACCGTATCTAAACTACAATTTTCTTGGGAAGAGACAAGGTGAAAAGCCATTCTAACATTAACTCACAGTGCATTCTCCCCTCCACTAACAAAGGCGGCTGCAAACAGGTGATCTGGTTAAATACTATATTAGGAAATAAAGAACTGTTTAGCCTTTTGCCACAAAATTTAGAAAAGCTTGTGTTTGGGTGGGATTTTTTTTGCATAATACTCTTATAATGCATATACTTAAAAGAAAAATATCCAAACAACATATTCTGAATCAACTTCATTTGCCTCAAAGGAAATAAAACAAGACTGCAAAGCTTTAAAAAACAGGTTTAGAAGGGAAATTATAATTTTGTTAGATAGTAAGACATCTATAATATAGATGGTATCACTATAGCTACCTGGATTTCTAATCTCTGCTGCTTTAACAGAGGAAAGTAGTCTATTAAGCTCTGATACTTATTTGTCAGAATATACTAAACACAGTAATGGTAGTTCTGTAACAAAAAAGGATTTGGGGGTAAAGAATCATCACAAGGGACGATTCAACAAAATTGAAAACAAAGTAAGCAATGTGAAAATCTGTACTACTTACAGTAATGTCCAGGATGCATAGGTGGATGATGCTGAAGATGGCCATTCTGGTGGTGAGGCATGGTAGGTGTGTAGGCTGCCGTCCGACTCCCAGTCCAAGTTGTAGTACTATCTAGAAAGAGAAAGGAGCAGTTGGTTAAGGGGGTTTTTCCACATCTCAATTCTAATCCTCTATTTCTCCTGAACATTTGGAAACTGGTTTTAGAAAACTGAGAGTGCACATATGTATATACTCACTGTGATGGTAAGTAGCTGGCTGAGCTGTAAACCCATTCTGCGGAGTTCCTGGCTGAGGCCCTGAAGCAATCTCTAAGAGTCCATCACTATGGCTACCTGTCAATATACTGATAGGTTGACCTGGTAAAAGAAGACTACCTATTTGTGAACATTCAACAATTTCAATTAAGAAGAGCGAGCTCAACACTACTGGGTAGTAAAATGCACCCAACTACGGGTACTGCATGACACGGTTCCTACAAGTTTGGTTTCAGTATTTTTTCCCATCTTCCAGTGTCTTAGGAAACTTGAAGCAACATGCTCTGCATCAGCTAATTTTGACTCTGACATCCTTAATATTTTACAAGTATGCAGAGAACTCTGTTCATCAACCGCATCTTTGTGTCGTTCGCATCTCTTTTCAGCTTAAAAGGAAAGAAGAGATGTTACAGGTTTTATTGAATAACATAGCTGAAGTAGATTTGGTATGAATACAAACAGGCCAACAGTAGGTCCATTAAGTCGATTTTTTTCAGCATGTTGTAACTACTGTTCCTAAGGAAGACATTCACTTAAATTTACATTCTTTAAAACATATACTGAACGGTATTTTAAAATAGCACTTGAACAGGGCTGCACACATCACTGGACTCCCTCCTGAGAAAGTTGCTGGGTTGTTTTTTTTTTTTCCTCCCAAATAAATACTTCAAGAATTCTCTAAGCTTTAAAGTAAAAGTACAGATATTCCAGAAAAGGTTAACAGAATTTGATTTTAAAAGGCTTCAACTCAGCCATTAACACTAAACTGATCAGGAGTTTCACAAGTACATTTGCACTCTCAGACTGGTGTAGCTAGCAGAACTTCACACATTGAAAACTTGAACTAAAACCTAAAATCCAAGCTTTTTCCTGTCCACTGGGCTCCAACAATTATAGCACTGATGAGAAAAAGTTACTGACTATAAACTGTTATACAAAGGCAATAAAATTAAACCACCTATCCTGTTCTCTCTGCTGGAGAGAGATGTCATATCTTAGCTTGGTGTCCTGGGTTCAGCTGTAGAAGGCATTTTTCTCCTTAGTAGCTGGTGCAGTGCTGTGTTTTTGGCTTTAGTCTGAGAACATTGGTGTCTTATCATGTATTTTTAGTTGTTGCTAAGTAAAGTTTACTTCAATCAAGGACTCTTTCAGTCTCGTGCTCTGCCAGTGAGGAGGGGAAGCCTTGAGGAAGCAGAGACGGGACACCTGACCCAAAATAGCCAAAGGGGTATTGCATACCATCATGCCCAGTATATAAACTGGGGGGAGTTACCTGGAAGGCTCAGATCGCTGCTCCGGTTGGGCTGGGTATCAGTCGGGTGGTGAGCAACTGTATTCTCTCCCCTTGTTATTTCCCTTATTATTAGTATTATTGGGGGTAGCAGTAGCAGTTTTGTATTATACCTTAGTTACTGGACCGTTCTTAGCCTGTGGGATTTACATTCTTTTGATTCTCCTCCCCATCCCTCTGGGAGCAGGGAGGAAGAAGGGTGGGAGTGAATGAGCAGCTGAGTTCTGAGTTACCGGCTGGGCTTAAACCACGACACTTGGCAAAACCATCAATAGTTTCAGCAAAATAGTCAGCTAAACTTAAATAACATTCTCAAAACACCATGCTACCACAATTCAAATTTGCTAAGATGAAATCCACTATAGTCACACATCTTTGACATTAAAGTGACAAAGAGTGTGTGAAACCCCTCTCCAAACTTCTTGGCTTCCCTACATTAGGGCTGCAGGACACTGTGTACGTAACTGCTTTAATGTCCTGCTGGAATGAAGAGTGAGGTTTGTTGTTGGTAAACCAGACTCTTCCACTTGTACCAAATACACACAGAAAATATTAATTAGGGTTGTCACTCTGGTAGTACAGTGGGCCATTATAAAAATCAAAGAATCACAGATTCATGAGACTTGGAAGGGACCTCTGGAGATCATCTAGTGCAACCCCCTGGCCAAGGCAGGGCCACCTAGAACAGGTTACACGGGAAAGCATCCAAGTTTGGAATGCCTCCAGAGAGGGAGACTCCATGACCCTCCTGGGCAGCCTGTTCCAGTGCTCTGCTACCCTCAGTATAAAGAAGTTCTTCATGTTGAGGTGAAACTTCTTGTGTTTTAGTTCATGGCACTAATGAGATCCCCTCTCAGTCTTCTCTTCTCTAGACTCAACAGGCCCAGGTCCTGCAATCTCTCATCATAAGAGAGATGCTCCAAACCCCTGATCATCCCTGTGGCCTCCTACTGGACCCTCTCCAGTAGCTCCTTGTCTTTCTTGTACTGAAGAGCCCGGAAATGAACACAGTCCTCCAGATGTGACATCACCAGGATTGAGTAGAGGGGGAGGATCACCTCCCTCGACCTGCTGGCCACGCTTCTCCCAATGCACCCCAGGATACTATTGGCCCTCCTTGCCACAAGGCCACACTGACAGCTCATAGTCATCTTGTCACCTGCCAATACTTCCAGGTCCTTCTCATCTGAACTGCTCTCTAGTAGGTCAGCCCCCAACCTGCACTGGTACTTGGGGCTCTTCCTCCCCAGGTGCAGTACCCTACACTTGCCCTTGTTGAACCTCATTAGGTTACTCTCTGCCAATTCTCCAGCCTATCAAGGTCCCACTAAAAGACAGCACAGCCTTCAGGTTTATCAGCTACTCCCCCAGCTTCATGTCATCATCAAGCTTGCTGAGGGTACACTCTAGCCCTTCATCCAGGTCACTGATAAACAAGTTGAATAAGACCAGGCCCAATAGTGATCCCTGGGGAACACCACTGACTACAGGCCTCCAACTGGATTCTGCTCCATTGATCACGACCCACCGAACTCTGCCATTCAGCCACCTCACTGTCTATTCATCTAACCCACATTTCCTAAGCTTACCTAGGAGGATGTTATGGGAAACAGTGTCAAAAGCCTTGCTGAAGTCAAGGTAGATAATATCCACTGCTCTCCCCTCATCAACCCATCCTGCCATGTCATCATAAAAGACTATTAGATTGTTCAAGCAAGATTTCCCCTTGGTGAACCCATGCTGACTACTACTGATAGCCACCGCCTTCTTCATGCTTGGTAATGACCTCCAGAATGACCTGTTCCATCACCTTTCCAGGGATGGAGATTATGCTGACTGGACAGTAGTTTCCCAGGTCCTCCCCTTCTTACCCTTTCTGAAGATGGGAGTGACATTGGCCTTCCTCCAGTCATTGGGCACCTCTCCCATTTTCCATGATTTTTCAAAGATGATGGAGAGAGGCAGAGCAACAACATCTGCCAGCTCCCTCAACACCCCGTGGGTGCATTCCATCAGGGCCCATGGATTTATGGGTGTTAAGTCTGTTTAGCCTCTCCCTAACCCAACTCTGTACAACCAGGGGGAAGTCTTCCAGGGGAAATTCTTCCTTTCTCTGGCCTTCATCTCTAACCTCCAAGGTCTGGGACTCCTGACGGCCGTTCTTAGCAGTGAAGACTGAGCCAAAGAAGGCATTCAGCAATTCCACCTTCTCCTTGTCTTCTGTTACGAGGACACCCACCTGATTCAGCAGCGGCCCCACATTTTCCCTTATCTTCCTTTTGCTGCTGATATTCTTGTAGAAGCCTTTAAAGTTAATACTCAAAGACTGATTTTGTTAGCTCTGGAATGCTAAAGATTTGTCTGAAAACCTCTCGATACTGCCACCTAGCAATATACATGTTTGTTGTCCTGGTTGCTGTTGTAATAGAATAATAATTTTTTTTCCATTCCTAAAGCAGTTGTTCAAATAATAGCCATAATGTTATGTCAGCAGTCAGTTGTTTTAACATGGTATCACCCAATCTCTGGCATATCTAAATAGGCTTGTAACACTTGTGGAGTGTCAGTCTCATTAAAGAAAGACTAGGTCACCAGGAAAAATTACTCAAATTATACTCCAAGTCAAAAGCTTATGTTAATGCTTACAAGACTGCCCAGATCATGCTGACATACACTTTTTCTTTGATCCATCACATTTTCAGTTTAGTACTTCATATAATCTTGACAATCTTACTTGTTGAAGCCACAGGAATGTTGGGATAATTAGTGGTGCTGGTAGTGCTAGCCTCAGCAGGAGCTAACATGGCTGGGGTGCTATAAGGCTCAGTAGATGCCCTGTTACTTGGTGGATGCTGGATGGTTTGGACTGAATGGCTTTCGGCAGAAGACAATGACAGCTGCCCCTCGTAGTCATTAACGTATTCATCTTTCACCAGCATGCTTGATGGAGCTGTGAAGAAGCAAATGGTTAAACATGCAAAGCAAATCTATTTTCAGGATTTAACTACAAATCGCACTACTACTTTTGAGGAACAGCAATGCTATTAAAACTACTGGGGGAGTATTTAACCTATCTAAACATTGCTACAGCACTCCTCTAAATTACAAATAAACACTTCAAGACAGCAGCAGGAAATTTTGAAGTGTAACTGGATGGAAAAGCTAACTGTTTATTTTGCTGACTGCCATCAAACAAGCAGTTTAGTCCCACAGTAGTAGACTCCAACCACGTTTTGTTTTCTAGTCCATCAGTGAGTGATTGGACATGGTTAATAAAAGGGAAAAACATGCTTTTCATCAAGCACCTAAATATATGTTAATGAAGTAGCCAGCAAGCCAATTTCTAGCATAAGAGTAATAAAATAAAGCTCCTATGAAAATTATAATTCATGAGCACAACACAAAAAACTTCATTCGCTCCTTCAGTAATTTTAAGCAGCTCCCAAATTGACTAGAATAATCAGATTCACAAAGACACTATAACACTACCTTATATTTAACAGCGTAGCCATACAGAATTACAATAGCAATTACAGAATTTATATTATTTTCTTGCTAAACTACTTATTAAAACATAAGCATCTATTATTCCCAATCTAATTAATTAGTATATCATACAGGTGCATATATTATCATGTGTTTGTTAAATGCTGCTTGTTAAATAAAAGAGTGAGGTTTTTGTTTTCCCTTTTTCTTGGTGTTTTTAAGTAGCAGGCAATGAAAACAGAACATACCTACAAGCTAAGCTGAAGCCTCAATTTAAAGAGTTTATCAATACTTGCTTCTCATATGCTACTTTTCTGGTTTTCCAAAACCAAAAAGACAAATGTATTTCCATCTGCTCTCTATATACCCTCCCAAGGAGATACACAGGAATAAACTGTATACATACTGAAGAGTTTAACAGTTTGTGCCCAGAGAAATGCAACAGTAAGCAGAACTACTTACCAGAACTCTGTAGTGTCAGTCCCGAGAGATCTTTAAAGAGAAAAAAGAAAAGGGGGTGTGGAGGACTATATACACAGAGATCTTCAACTATTTTTTAATATGAAGTTTATCAGCCTTTACAAATTAGTACTACAGACTCTACGTATTATACCCTTTCCATCACAAATCTCGATGCCAAGTTATTCCCAAGGTACACATTAACTGCAAGAACTGGGTGCAAACCAACAGAAAGGCTTAAGCAAAAGCCACAAACTGTTCTTTCAAGTTTAGAATAAAGGTAAAAGAATAATTCCATTAAGAAGATGGACAAGAGCATGAGAGTAATTTATTATTAGATCATTAAAAAAATTAATGTTTCTAATTTAGGCCTGTATTCTCTACACTCAAAAGGAAAACATTTTACATTTTAGTCCCACTGTTCCATTTTAAATCAAGAGTCTACTTACCAATGCCAGGTGATACTACACGCTCATAATGGTAAGGATTTACACAGACACTGTCACATTTTAAGTCAAAAGCATATTGACAATATTTAACATGCTTGAGTTCATTTTTATGAAGATCAGGCCACCTCCACAGACGAGCGTAAATCACATGAGGAAATCCTTTGCGACCAGCCACCTAAAGAGTTAGACACAAAAGTCGATTGGGACAGTTAAAAGATATTTTATTTTTTTTAGTAAGGAGCAAAGCTGTAAAAAGGACATTTTACCTTATTTAGTAAGGAGCAAAGCTATAAGAGGACAAACACCACCACAACCCTTCTCCAACAAAATATGGAGAAAAAAAAAAAAGTTATACAGTTTACCCAAGTTCTGTACTCAACAGAAAAATTTCTATTACGGTTTTGCTACAGTTAAGTCAACACTGTGATTCTTAAGAAAAAACACTGGATACAAAATGTCAGAAGCAGAATTTGTGCTTAATATAGTATGTATGGTCACCTTCCCCACTATGGATGATGATGGAGCTTTGCCCCAGAAGAGAAGGAACAAGGCAGTAAGCTACACTATAAGAAATTTACAGGTATAAGAACATCAATCCATTATACTGAAAATAAAAAATAATGCTTCTAGGGTAGACAGCTAGCCCATGGATTTATGGATATTAAATCTGTCTAGCCCATCCCTAACCTAACTCTCTACAACCAGGGGAAGTCTTCCTTTCTCTTGTCTTCATCTCTAACCTCTGAGGTCTGGGAAGAAGGCATTCAGTAATTCTGCCTTCTCTATGTCTTCTGTTACCAGGACACCCATCCGATTCAGCAGCAGCCCCACAGTTTCCCTTATCTTTCTTTTGCTGCTGATATGCTTGTAGAAGCCCTTCCTGTTGTCCTTGATGTCCTTTGCCAGACTCAGCTCTACTGTGGGCTTTGGCCTTCCTCATCCGCATTCCTGCATACCCTGACAATGTTCCTATTGTCCTCCCACTTGGCCTGTCCCCTTTTTTACCTCCCATAAATTTTCTTCTTAAGGTTTACTAGGAGCTCCCTTCTCATCCATGTAAGGTCTCCTGCCTGCTTTGCCTAATTTCTTCATCATGAGGATATACTGGTTTTGGGCTTGGAGGAAGTGGTACTTAAAAAATGACCAGCTCTCCTGTACTCCCTTGTCTTCTAGAGCCCTATCCCATGGGATTCCTCTAAGTAGGTCTTTGAAGAGGCTGAATTTAGCTCTCCAGATGTCCAGAGTTCTAGTCCTGCTTACTGTTTTGCTGCCCCCATGCAGGATCCTGAATTCTACCATCTCATGATCGCTACAGCCAAGGCTGTCCCCGAGTCTTTAGGTCATCAATCAGTCCTTTCTGGTTTGTTAGTACAAGGTCCAGCAACACACCTTTCTTCATTAGCTCCTCCACCACTTGTAACAGAAAGTTATTTATTTTCAGCGATCTGCAGGAGATGCCTGGGCTGTGTGTGCTGGGCCCTGTTATCCCTCCAACAAATAACTGGGTGGCTGAAGTTGCCCAGGAGAACCAGACCCTGTGACCGCAAGGCTATTTCCAGCTGCCCATAGAAGACCTCATCAACTTCCTCCTCCTGATGAGGTGGCCTATAGTAAACACACACAACAGTGTTCCTCATATTAGCCTGTCCCTTAATTCTCACCCATAAACTCTCAACTCATTGATCTGTCCCCAGGTAGAACTTGATACATTCCAGTTGTTCTTTCACATAAAGAGCAACTCCAACACCTCGTCTCCCTAACCTGTCCTTTCTAACAAGTACATTGCCATCCATGACAACTGCGTTGTGTATAGAGACATAGTCATGGACAAGGCTACAAGGATTCTCAAGGTAATGAAGGTATGCAACAAGAGGACCAGATGTCTTCTTTCAAATCATTGTGGGCCTTCCTCCTGTTGATAAGTCCTGAGAAATAGGTAAACAGCTGCGAAAGGAAACAGCTAGAGGAGCCTCTCAGGGTTGTAAAGTAGCCCCCAGCTCTCTCAGCCTGTCTTCATAGGATACACTGCAAATCATACATGGCAGTTTGGAACATGTACATGAATATACTGTACTGCATCCTTATGACTAAAACTTCTATGCTGCTCTCTGATGCCTGCTTTCCCATGCTGTGAAAGACTGTAATAAAAGCCTTTTTCTATGTGAAATAAAAAAAAAGGCATATTTGTCACCTGACACCAGTTTAGCCAACTGAAAAAAATGCAGCTTAGAAATATCTACGCTCCCTGAATAATAACAGCCAAAGGAAAGACCAGTATCTCCAAGAAAAAAATTAAAAACATGCCATGGAGTGCAGAAGAGGCAAGAGGCATGGGAATGAACAGAAATTGCATGAGGGGATCGAGCTGTGTTCTGTGCAAGGTAACAAAGCAAAAACGATCTGACTTATGACATTGTAAAGTGGATTTTTCATAATCTTTGATCATATTAAAAATGAAGAATATAAAAGGTGATTGCTTTTAAGATGAGTTTGAAATATTATGGAGATTTCTACCTGAAATTAGGAAGAGCACTGTCAGCAGGTTGAGGGAGGTGATCCCCTCTACTCAGCGCTGGCAGGACACATCTGTAGTGTTGAGCCTAGTTCTGTGCTCTCCAGTACAAGAGAAAAGAAAGCTGGGGAAGGGGGGAAACTTATCTACATGTATAAATAGCTGACTGGAGTCAGGGGGTAAAGAAGACTGAGCCACATACTTCTCAGTAGTATCCATTGACAGGATAAGCAGCAATGGGCACAAACTGAAATACAAGAATTACCACGCAAATATAAGGGAGAACTTTATCATAGTGAGGGTGGCTGGGCACTGGCACAGGTCGCCCATTTAGGTTGTAGTGTCCCTCCTTGGAGATACTCAAAAACTGACTGGATACAGTACTGGGTAACCTGCTCTATTTGACCTTGCTTAAACATGGGAGTTGGACTAGATGATCAAGACTAGATGCCAGTTTGACTATGGGCTCAAGAGGCCTCTTCCAACCTCAGAAATTATGTGGTTTTATGAAATACCCCAAAACAAAGTAGTGCCATGTACTGTTATCATGGTTTAAACCCAGCCAACAACTAAGTACCATGCAGCTGCTTGCTCACTCCCCCCATCCCGCCCCACACCCTCCCTGGGCAGCGTGGGGAGGAGTCTTGGAATAATGTAAAGCAGTTTAGTAACTGATATAGAGTAAAATATAGTGATAATAGAAAGAATACCAACAATAACAATACTGATAATAATAGGGAGAAAAAAAAAAGAGAAATGAAAGCTCAGAAAACACAAGTGATGCACAATCCAATTGCTCACCACCCACGAACTGATACCCAGCCCAATCAGAGCAATGATTGGTCCCCTCTGGGTAACTCCCTCCAGTTTATATACTGAGCATGATGTGCTATGGTATAGAATATCCCTTTGGCTGGTTTGGGTCAGGTGTCCTGCTGTTCTCCTGGCTTCTTGTGTCCCTCCTCACTGGCAGAGCATGAGAGACTGAAAAGTTTTTGATCAGGGTAAGTGCTACTGAGCAACAACTAAAATATTGGCATTGTTCTCAGACTAAAGCCAAAACACAGCACTGCACCATCTACTAAGATGAAGAGAAATGATTGCTACAGCTGAACCCAGGACAATATCCACCCCTTATTCCATGCCATTCATGTCATGCTCAGATCCCATTTTTTTTCAGTACAACATCGCTTTTTGTCTCATATATATATATATAAACCACCACACACACAAAGAGAGAGAGAGATATCATTCCTTTGTCCATGGACCATCCCTATAAACACTGTACCAGCCACTAGGAAGAAAAATAACTGTCCCAGCCCACTGCTCAGGTTGGGCTGGGTATTGGTCAGAAGGTGGTGAACAATTGTACTGTGCATCACTGCTGTTTATTGTTGGGTTGTTTCGTTGTTTGTTTTTTTTTCTCTTAGCTTTATATTTTCCTCCCTTGTTATTTCCCTTATCATTAGTGGCAGTATTAGTATTGCATTGTACTTTTAATTATTGAACTGCTCGTATATCAACCCGCAGGTTTTACATTCTTTCGATTCTTCTTCCCATGTTGCCTGGGGAGGGAAAAAGGGTTGGGGTGAGCAAGTGGCTGCATGGTACTTAGTTTCTGGCTACGCTTAAACAACAGCTACCCATTCTCCTTAGTCCAAGGACTACAAGTGTGAGAATAGCGACTTTCCATTTGTGGACACTGAAATTGTAAGAGACCAGCTGTATCAGATAAATTTTCACAAGTCCATGGTGTCTGATTTGATTCATCCTAGAGCACTAAAGGAGCTAGCAGATGCTATGGAAGGACCCCTTTTGATCATCTACAAAAGGTCTTGCAAGTCTGGGGAGGACCTTGTTGACTGGAAGCTAGCCAATGTTATTCTAACATACATGAAGGGTGTGAGGGTAGACCCAGGGCACTACAGGCCTGTTAGTCTAACCTCAGTTCCTGGAAAAATTATGGAGAAAATTATACTGGGTACTTGTCCTGGGTTCAGCAATAGCAGTCATTTTTCTTCTTCTTAGTAGGTGGTGAACTGCTGTGTTTTTTACTTTAGCCTGAGAACAACGCTGATAACACACCGATGTTTTGAGTTGTTGCTAAGTAATGCTTACTCTGATCAAGGGCTTTTCAGTCTCTCATGCTCTGCCAGTGAGGAGGGGCATGGGAATCCAGGAGGAAGCAGAGACAGGACACCTAACCCAAACTAGCCAAAGCGTATTCCATATCACAGCACATCATGCCCAGTATGTAAACTGGGGGGAGTTACATGGAAGGCCCAGATCGCTGCCTGGGTCAGGCTGGGTGAGAACATTTTTGAACTGCTGTGCCTGCTGGAATTGGAGGAAATAAAATGAGTATTTCTCTAAGATAAATGTTTATTAGAACTCTGAGGCCAACAAGTCTGAAGAAGAGAAGACACACTAAAAACATATTCAGGAAGGCTCAAACTTAAAAACAAAGACATGAAATTACGTTCACCTAAAATTGGTTGGTGGGTCTAGAAGAGCTTTTTAGTCACTGAGACATACTGACTTCCTTCCTCTATTTCCTTATCTTTGTATCCATATGTAGTATGAATGCACATTAACTTGTTAAACATGGCATACACTTTTTCTAGATTGAAGAGTAAGCAAACGGAGATTTGCTTGATATGGAA